GTGGCTGTTGTGGTTGTAGCCTCAGTGGATGTGCCTGCACTTGTTTGTGAGGTTGTTTCCGCTGTAGTGCTGGCTGTGGCTGCGGTTGTGGGTTCAGTAGAAGTGCTAGTCGTGGCTGTGGTCGTTGTAGCCTCAGTGGATGTGGCTGCACTTGTTGGGGTGGTCGATTCTGTTGTAGTGCTGGCTGATGCTGTGGTTGATGGTTCTGTAGAAGTGCTTGCAGTGGCTGTGGTGGTTGTAGCCTCAGTGGATGTGCTCTCACTTGCTTGTGAGGTTGTTTCTGTTGTAGTGCTGGCTGTGGTTGTGGCTGTGGGTTCAGTAGAAGTGCTAGTCGTGGCTGTGGTCGTTGTAGCTTCAGTGGATGTGGCTGCACTTGTTGGGGTGGTCAACTCTGTTGTAGTGCTAGTTGATGCTGTGGTTGATGGTTCTGTAGAAGTGCTTGCAGTGGCCATGGTTGTTGTAGCCTCAGTGGATGTGCTCACACTTGTTTGGGAGGTTGATTCAGTTGTACTGCTGGCTATGGTTGTAGTCAGGGATTCTGTAGAAGTGCTTGTAGTGGCTGTTGTGGTTGTAGCCTCAGTGGATGTGCCTGCACTTGTTTGTGAGGTTGTTTCCGCTGTAGTGCTGGCTGTGGCTGCGGTTGTGGGTTCAGTAGAAGTGCTAGTCGTGGCTGTGGTCGTTGTAGCCTCAGTGGATGTGGCTGCACTTGTTGGGGTGGTCAACTCTGTTGTCGTGCTAGTTGATGCTGTGGTTGATGGTTCTGTAGAAGTGCTTGCAGTGGCCATGGTTGTTGTAGCCTCAGTGGATGTGCTCACACTTGTTTGGGAGGTTGATTCAGTTGTACTGCTGGCTATGGTTGTAGTCAGGGATTCTGTAGAAGTGCTTGTAGTGGCTGTTGTGGTTGTAGCCTCAGTGGATGTGCCTGCACTTGTTTGTGAGGTTGTTTCCGCTGTAGTGCTGGCTGTGGCTGCGGTTGTGGGTTCAGTAGAAGTGCTAGTCGTGGCTGTTGTGGTTGTAGCCTCAGTGGATGTGGCTGCACTTGTTGGGGTGGTCGATTCTGTTGTAGTGCTGGCTGATGCTGTGGTTGATGGTTCTGTAGAAGTGCTTGTAGTGGCTATTGTGGTTGTAGCCTCAGTGGATGTGCTCTCACTTGCTTGTGAGGTTGTTTCTGTTGTAGTGCTGGCTGTGGTTGTGGCTGTGGGTTCAGTAGAAGTGCTAGTCGTGGCTGTGGTCGTTGTAGCCTCAGTGGATGTGGCTGCACTTGTTGGGGTGGTCGATTCTGTTGTAGTGCTGGCTGTGGTTGTGGCTGTGGGTTCAGTAGAAGTGCTAGTCGTGGCTGTGGTCGTCGTAGCCACAGTGGATGTGGCTGCACTTGTTGGGGTGGTCGATTCTGTTGTAGTGCTGGCTGTGGTTGTGGCTGTGGGTTCNGGGAGGTTGTTTCCGTTGTAGTGATGGCTACAGTTGTGGTTGTGGGTTCAGTAGAAGTGCTACTCGTGGCTGTGGTCGTTGTATCCTCAGTGGATGTAGCTGCACTTGTTGGGGTGGTCGATTCTGTTGTAGTGCTGGTTGATGCTGTGGTTGATGGTTCTGTAGAAGTGCTTGCAGTGGCTGTAGTGGCTGTAGCTTCAGTGGATGTGCCTGCACTTGTTTGTGAGGTTGTATCCACTGTAGTGTTGGCTGCGGCTGCAGTTGTGGGTTCAGTAGAAGTGCTAGTCATGGCTGTGGTCGTCGTAGCCTCAGTGGATGTGCCTGCACTTGTTGGGGTGGTCGATTCCATTGTAGTGCTGGCTACAGTTGTGGTTGTGGGTTCAGTAGAAGTGCTAGTCGTGGCTGTGGTGGATGTAGCTTCAGTGGATGTGCTCGCACTTGTTTCAGAGGTTGTTTCTGTTGTAGTGCTGGCTACAGTTGTGGTTGTGGGTTCAGTAGAAGTGCTAGTCGTGGCTGTGGTGGTTGTAGCTTCAGTTAATGTGCTCGCACTTGTTTCAGAGGTTGTTTCTGTTGTAGTGCTGGCTGTGGTTGTGGCTGTTGGTTCAGTAGAAGTGCTAGTCGTGGCTGTGGTGGTTGTAGCCTCAGTGGATGTGCTCGCACTTGTTTGGGAGGTGGTTTCCATTGTAGTGCTGGCTACAGTTGTGGTTGTGGGTTCAGTAGAAGTGCTCGTCGTGGCTGTGGTGGTTGTAGCCTCAGTGGATGTGGCTGCACTTGTTGGGGTGGTCGATT